CGCGTCGCCCAGCGCGGGATCTCAGCTCACTGCAAGCTCTGGCACGCCCGGGGTTTTAAACGCCATTCGCCGGCCGCAGCGCACTAACAGGCGCCCGCCACCTCGCCTCGCCTGGCTAGTTTTTTGTATTTTTTAGTGGAGACGGGGTTTCACCATGTCAGCCAGGATGGTCTCGATCTCCTGACCTTGTGATCCGCCCATCTCGGCCTCCCAAAGTGCTGGGATTACAGGCTTGAGCCGCCGCGCCCGGCCCCAGAATGAAGGGTCTTATGCAGACACTTCAAATTGTACCCAACAAAGCAGCACTTCTCCAATTAATAATAGTACCTCCCCTTTGCACATAGTCTTTGACTTTTCCATTTTGTCACTGTCTTCATCTCACAGTAATCTGGTAGGAATGCACTGGGCTATATTTTTCCCCATTTGGTAGATAGGGAAACTGATCTCCAGAAATGTTCAGTGATGTGTCTTGGCACAGGATGGTGGCTGTGAACATGGTGTGTGAATTCAGACAGATCTGGTTCAAATTCCAGCTCAGGTACTTCCTCGATGTGTGACCTTTTGGAAGTCACTTAACCTTTCTGAACTTTAGTTTACTCATTTGTGAAATGAGGACAGCAATAGTTCTTACTGCAAAAGATCATTATGAAGACTAAGACAAGACGTCAAAACAGGGCAGTGAAGGACTCAATAAATGGTGGCGAGAGCTTTATGTGCCACCACATGGGAACCAACAGCCCCGGGGCTCTTGCCACAAGCCAATGATTCCTCCCCATCAAAAAAATGATCCAGAATTTACTGATTTCAGAGCTTTTCCAGATTACTCATAAAGCTCAATCTGATGGAAGCCAAAGCTAGCACTCTGAAAAATCATACAGGATTTGGTCATTCCATTCTCTCTCTCTCTCTTTTTTCTTTTTTTTGAGATGGAGTCTCACTCTGTTGCTCAGGCTAGAGTGCAGTAGTGCAATCTTGGCTCACCATAACCTCCGCTTCCTGGCTTCAAGCGATTCTCCTGTCTCAGCCTCCTGAGCAGCTGGGACTACAGGTACACACCACCATGCCCGGCTAATTTTTGTATTTTCAGTAGAGACGGGGTTTCACTATGTTGGCCAGGCTGGTCTCGAACTCCTGATCTTGTGATCCACCTGCCTCAGCCTCCCAAAGTGCTGAGATGACAGGCGTGAGCCACTGTGCCCAGCCAGAGTCTCTCTCTATTTTATTAAATAGAGACAGGGGTCTCGCTATGTTGTCCAGGTTGGTCTTGAACTCCCAGCCTCACGCAATCCTTCTGCCCTGGTCTCCCTAAGTCCTAAGATTATAGGGATGTGCCCACTGCACTCGGCCCATTCCACTCTCCACAGTGACTCTGAATGCTGACTGAGAAAACACACTTCAAGCTTCCTGATTGGAAAACAAATTTCTGTAGCTGTTTTTCAGGCCCTGTCTTATTTGACCTCTCTGGTGTTTGGGACTCCCTTCTTCTTGTGCCTTTCTCCCAGCCTGGCTTTCCCACATCTCTTCCTTTGGTTCTGCACTCACCTTTCTGGCTGTCCTTTCTGCTTCTTTCTCCTACTCCTTCCCTACCAGCCACCTCCTGACTCTCAGTCAACCTTGAGTTCTGTTTTCCTCAGTTTACATTTGCTTACCTGATTAATGTTATCTGTAGTGATAACTTCAATTACCACTCATCTATATATTCATCAGTGGTGGCCAAATCTGTTTCCCATTCAGATCTCTATTCTGATGTCACTTAATCTACACAAAACCCCTTTGAGGGCCGGGCGCAGTGGCTCACACCTGTAATCCCAGCACATTGGGAGGCCGAGGCAGGCAGATCATGAGGTCAAGAGATCGAGACCATCCTGGCCAACATGATGAAACCCCGTCTCTACTAAAAATACAAAAATTACCTGGGTGTGGTGGTGCGCGCCTGCAGTCCTAGCTACTCCGGAGGCTGAGGCAGGATCGCTTGAACCAGGGAGGCGGAAGTTGCAGTGAGCCGAGATCGTGCCACTGCACTCCAACCTGGCGATAGAGCGAGACTCTGTCTCAAAAACAAAAACACAAACACTCTTTGAAGATAACAGCTGTTACCATCATCTAAGTTTTACAACGGAGGAACTGAGGCTTAGGAAGGTTGAGTAATTTATCCCAAAAGCACACAGCCATCCAGAGATGGTGGATATTACAAAAAAAAGTCCCTGCCTTGATAGCCCTTACAGACTAGGTGGGAAAAGAAACATTAAACAGTTTCACAACTATCTGTTTCACTTCAATTGTGGTAGAAAGGAGTACAGAATATATAGCATGAGGACGTGCATGTCTTAGGAGGGTCTCACCCTGTAAGGAGCCAGGGAGATAGGGTGATCAGAGAAGGCTTCCTGAAGAAGCACCATTTGGATAGAGATCTGAAGTATGAGTAGAAATTAGCTGGGCAGGCCAGGTGTGGTGGCTCACACCTGTAATCCCAGCACTTTGGGAGGCTGGAGTGGGAAGATCACCTGAGCCCAGGAGTTTGAGACCAGCCTGGGCAACATAGAGAGACTGTGTCTCTATTAAAAAAAAAAAAGGCCGGGCGCAGTGGCTCAAGCCTGTAATCCCAGCACTTTGGGAGGCCGAGACGGGCGGATCACGAGGTCAGGAGATCGAGACCATCCTGGCTAACACGGTGAAACCCCGTCTCTACTAAAAATACAAAAAACTAGCCGGGCGAGGTGGCGGGCGCCTGTGGTCCCAGCTACTCGGGAGGCTAAGGCAGGAGAATGGCGTAAACCCCGGAGGCGGAGCTTGCAGTGAGCTGAGATCCGGCCACTGCACTCCAGCCCTGGCTACAGAGCAAGACTCTGTCTCAAAAAAAAAAAAAAAAAAAAATTAGCTGGGCATGGTAGTACATACCCATAGTCCCAGTTACTTGGGAGACGGAAATGGAAGGGTTACTTGAGGCCAGGAGGTCGAGGCTATGATGAGCCACAATTGTACCACTGCATTCCAGCCTGGGTGGCTAGCCACAGAGGAAGACCTTGTCTCAAAAATAAAATAAAATAAGCTGGGCAAAGAGAGGGACGAAAGGTAGAGGGAAAGAGCAGTCCAGGCGGAGAGACCAGCATGAGTAGCTCCTGAGTGGAACAGTGCAGGGCAGAGTAAAGAAGAGAAAGAGAACAAAGGAACAAGTCATGGGATTTGAGGTTGAAAAAACAGGCAGAAACATTTTGTAGGGACCATTGGGCCAGTTTAAGAAATCTAATTTTTTGTTTGTTTGTTTGTTTTTGAGACGGAGTCTCCCTCCCTCTGTTGCCCAGGCTGGAGTGCAGTGGCACCATCTCAGCTCACTGTAGTCTCCACCTCCCAGGTTCAAGCGATTCTCCTGCCTCAGCCTCCTGAGTGGCCGGGATTACAGGCATGCACCACCACGCCCGGCTAATTTTTCTATTTTTAGTAGAGATGGGGTTTTGCCATGTTGGCTGGACTGGTCTCAAACTCCTGACTTCAAGTGATCCACCCACCTCAGCCTCCCAAAGTGCTAGGATTATAGGCATGAGCCATTGTGCCTGGCCAGGAGTCTGATTTTTTTTTTTTTTTTTTAGACGTATTCTTGCTCTGTGGCCCATGCTGGAGTACAATGGCATGATCTCAGCTCACTGCAACCTCCACCTCCCGGATTCAAGCAATTCTCCTGTCTCAGCCTCCCTAGTAGCTGGGACTACAGTCACGTACCACAACGCTGGCTAATTTTTGTATTTGTAGTTGAGATGGGGTTTCGCCATATTGGTCAGGCTGGTCTCGAACTCCTGACCTCAGGAGAGCCACCCGCCTTGGCCTCCCAACGTGCTGGGATTACAGGCATGAGCCACTGTGCCCAGCCCAGGAGTCTGATTTTTATCTCAACACCAATAGGGAGGTACAAAAGGGTTTTAAACTAGGAAATGCCATGATTGGCTATATTCTGGGTACATAGCAAGACAGATGCATGGAAGCCAGACTGGAGTCTCTCCTTCAAGGTCCTGTTGAAGAACTGCCACCTCTCTACAGCCTTCTGTGGGCCCTACCTTAGAGCAGATCACATTTCATCACCATCACCTGCTTAGTCTGTAGTCCCCAGTACACAGAGACTATTTACAATTCTACCTCCCACACAGCACCCACACCCACACAGCAGCTGCCCCCATCAGGCCAATGTTAATTGTTGAATAAAGGGTTGGTTGAACAAACAGCCAAGAAACAGTGAAGCCAGTTTAATCCAAATCTAATTTCCTAAAAATCTTAGAAATGAGTCAGAGCTTGGGGGAAGACACAGCATTGGAGCTGACGATGCCAGATGGTCAGTGCCTTACTCTTTCTGGTAAATGGATTTTAATAAAATCAACATCTGCTCTGTGATAATTACTGCCCCCCTATCTTTCCTCTGAAGACCTGCTCAGACAGTTTGAGTCTAATTACCAGCAACTGCAGACGGTTTCGTCTCTACCCTTTTTTGTTGATGATCAAATATGTTAGTAAACTACTTATAAATGAAACAAAAACTCATGCTTTTCTGTGTCTGGATCCTTCGTTACAGACCATGTTGCTTTCCTGGGCTTGTCTCCAGGTTCCAAGACTGGCAACTGCTTCATGGTGTCCTATGCATAAGAAAGAAAGGCACTTTTTAGACACTTATGATGATCATCTTAATCAATTCAACCTCCTTTTTAAACCTTTCCTGTTGAATGTACTAATTTCTAGGGCCTGACTAATTTGAATAAGCACCACCAACTTTTCATCTTTATTTTTTATTTATTTATTTGAGACAGACTTTTGCTCTTGTTGCCCAGGCTGGAGTGCAATGGCACGATCTTGGCTCATGGCAATCTCTGCCTCCCAAGTTCAAGCGATTCTCCTCCCTCAGCCTCCCGAGTAGCTGGGATTACAGGCATGTGCCACCATGCCCAGCTAATTTTTGTATTTTTAGTAGAGATGGAGTTTCACCATGTTGGTCAGGCTAGTCTCGAACTCCTGACCTCAGGTGACGCACTGTGCCTGGCTGATGTATTTATTTTTATTCTTTTCTTTTGTTTTTGAGACGGAGTCTCGGTCTGTCGCCCAGGCTGGAGTGCAGTGGCGCAATCTCGGCTCACTGCAAGCTCCGCCTCCCGGGTTCACGTCATTCTCCTGCCTCAGCCTCCCGAGTAGCTGGGACTACAGGCGCCCGCCACCGCGCCCGGCTAATGTTTTCTATTTTTAGTAGAGACGGGGTTTCACCATGGTCTCGATCTCCTGACCTTGTGATCCACCCGCCTCGGCCTCCCAAAGTGCTGGGATTACAGGCGTGAGCCACCGCGCCCAGCCTTTATTTTTATTCTATTTTTTTTTTTTGGATGGAGTCTCACTCTGTTGCACAGGTTGGAGTGTAGTGGTGCGATCTCTGCTTACTGCAACCTCCCTCTCCCTGGTTCAAATGATTCTCCTTTCTCAGCCTCCTGCATAGCTGAGATTACAGGTGCCCACCCACGCCTGGCTCATTTTTCTAGTTTTTCTAGTAGAGATGGGGTTTCACCATGTTGGCCAGGCTGGTCACTAACTCCTGACCTCAGGTGATCTGCCCGCCTCAGCCTCCCAAAGTGCTGCGATTACAGGTGTGAGCCACCGCACCTGGCGCTATTTTTTATTTTTTAATTTTTTTCTGATATGGAGTCTCACGCTGTCACCCAGGCTGGAGTGCAGTGGCACGATCGTGGCTCACTGTAGCCTCTGCCTCCTGGGTTCAAACAATTATCTGGCCTTAGCCTCCCGAGTAGCTCATATTACAGGCACCAGCCAAAACGCCTGACTAATTTCTGTATTTTTAGTAGATACGGGGTTTCATCATGTTGGCCAAGCTGGTCTCAAACTCCTGACCTCAAGTGATCCGCCCGTCACAGCCTCCGAAAGTGCTGGGATTACAGGTGTGAGCCACTGTGCCAGGGCAGCAGCTTTATTTATCAATTTATTGAGATGGAGTCTCACTCTGTCACCCAGCCTGGAGTGCAGTGGCACGATCTCGGCTCACTGCAACGTCCGCCTCCCGGGTTCAAGCTATTCTCCTGCCTCAGCCTCCCGAATAAGCTAGGACTACAGGCAAGTGCCACCATGCCCAGCTAATTTTTTTTTTTATTTTTCATAGAGACGGGGTTTCACTATGTTCGCCAGGCTGGTCTTGAACTTGGCCCGCCTCGGCTCCCAAAGTGCTGGGATTACAGGCGTGAGCCACTGAGCCTGGCCATTTATTTATTTTTTAACTAAAAATAGAAACGGGGCTGGGCACGGTGGCTCACGCCTGTAATCCCAACACTTTGGGAGGCCAAGGTGGGCGGATCACAAGGTCAGGTGATGGATACCATCCTGGCCAACATGGTGAAACCCCATCTTTACTAAAAGTACAAAAAAAAAAAAAAATTAGCTGGGCGTGGTGGCATGCGCCTGTAGTCCCAGCTACTTGCGAGGCTGAGGCATGAAAATTGCTTGAACCCAAGAGGCAGAGTGAGTGAGCCGAAATCATGCCACTGCACTCCAGCCTGGCAACAGAGCGAGACTCTGTCTCAAAAAAAAAAAAAAAAAAAAAAAAAAAAAGAAAAGAAAAGAAAAAAAAGAAATGGGGTTTCCCTATGTTGTCCAGGCTGGTCTCGAACTCCTAGCCTCCTAAAGAGCTGGGATTACAGGTATGAGCCACTGTTCCCCGCCCAAAGGACAAAATATTTAAAGAGGCTGAGAAATGCTGAGCTCTAGGATAAATCTTGGCCTCAGTATAGCATAGAAAGTAAGGCCTTCTGCTGTCAAGCTTTTTTCCGTGAACTCACCTCCATAATCTCTTGCATTATTGTTTTTTTTGCAGCTCTTATAATATGGCAGGCCTTTTCATAATTTTGTAGCCTATTCTGCTTCCCCTAATTGTAATGTCGCTAATTGGCAAACTCCTAGTTAACCTTCAAAGCCCAGTTCAAAAGTCCCTTCCCTGGTGAAACCTTCCCTGATTTGCCCTTTTCTCTTTCACCCCCTTCCACGTTACTTCCTTCTTCTACCCACTGGGCTCTTAAGGTATTAAGCCACCACCACTGCAGGAATCATTTGTATTGTTTATCTATTTAAAGCTTCTAGACTAGATTCTAGATTAAACTCCACTAGACTAAGTTCCTAGAGGGCTGGGCCTGTCAGATCCATTTCGAGAACCTACCAATGGACCTGGCATAGAGTAGAAGTGGGGGAGTGCCTAGTGAATGAAGAAATTAAATAGATTGAGAGATGAATGGATAAATCCCACCTGCGGCCTAGGCCGCTGACAACTGTCCCCAAAGTCCAGAGCTCAGTTAGGTTGGCTTCACGTGGGCGGGACCTCCCGCAGCCGCCGCCGCTACCTGCCCGGTAAATCTCATCCCCACGTGGCAGTTCTAGGGGATAGGAGACGGGGTCGGGAGATAACAGACTGGTTCGGTCAAAGTGGCCAGGACGGAGCCAGGGAAGGCCTTCTCAGTTCTTTCCACCCGGCTTGGGCCCACTCCCCTAAAGGATTCGGACCCCCTGCCCGAGACTGTAACAGACCCGGTATCCGGGGACCCTAGCCCCCAACCCTCCAGCCCGGGACCGCATTACCTGCGGCGATTTAGGCCAGTCGCGAGCCGTGACTCCGCCCCGGAGGGGCGGGGCTTAGGTCTGGGCCCTCCTCCCAGAACCCGGAAGAGCGTCCGGGCTAACCGCTCTATCCTGCCTGCTCCGTCCCGAGGGCCCGGCACTGCCTTCCTGGGCTGGCGGTGGAGGGACCCCCCCCAGACACGGAGTGGACGCCGAGTTGTGCATTTCTGGGGAACCAAGCGGGCTGGGCCCTCCCTGGGTTCCTCCCTCCCAGAAGGGATAAATAAGCCGGGGCTACTTGGAAACGATTTGCGCAATGCCGGGTTCGGGCGTTCGTTTGGGGAATCCAAATTCCTGCGGCAGCTGATCTACTCTATAACCGGCTAACAGGGCCGGGCGCCACCTCACTCCAGCTTGGGCAACAGCGCGATAACTCCGTCTCAAAAATTAAATAAATAAATAAAAGGGGGCGGTATAACAGTTACATTTCCAGTTACGACGATTGTTAACAGTTTCAAAAGGGGAGAGTTGAGCACGCAATCTGCCTGCGCAGTCTTCGGGCCAGCTCAAGATTTGGTGCTTTGAACAGCTGATTTATTCCATAATTGCCATTTGTAATTATGGCAGGTGCTATGCTGAGCCAGACACCACCACCCTTGGCCTCCAGGAGCATACAGTCTTAAAGAGAGATCAACAAAAAGACAACTAGGGACAATTGCCAAGAGTGCAAGAAATAAAAAGTTGTGGGGAAGTTACTTTCCTCCCGGCCTCAGGGCTGTCTGCTTGTAACCATGGAGCTAATAAGATTTCTATCATAGGCTGGGCGCGGTGGCTCACGCCTATAAGCCCAGCACTTTGGGAGGTGGAGGCGGGCAGATGACGAGGTCAGGAGTTCCAGACCAGCCTGGCCAACATGGTGAAACCCCGTCTCTACTAAAAATACAAAAATTAGCCAGGCGTGGTGGTGGGTGCCTGTAATCCATGCTACTGAGGAGGCTGAGGCAGGAGAATTGCTTGAATCCAGGAGTTGGAGATTGCAGTGAGCTGATATAGTGTCACTGCACTCTAGCCCGGGTGACAGAGCAAGACTCTGTTTTGGGAAAAAAAAAAAGAAAAGAAAAAAGATTTATATCGTAGTTGTGGTGGGGAATACATGACATAATGTAAATAAAAATGATCAGCACCCAGCAGCTGGCACAGAGTTCTCTTTCAAGGGAAAAGCTATTCCTGACTATAAATGAACAATGTCTCTAGATGTATTCATCTACATTATCTTTGATTTAGTTCATAACCATAGGTTCTCTGTATCTTTCCTGAAAATAGAGAGGTGGCTCGCTCTCTTATGTCTGTTTCAAAGAACTCCAGTCTCTGAAGCTGTCGCTGTGTCCTAGGAAATAGAGAAAACAGCTCAGGTTAGAAACAGGAGCTCCTGGAGCGTAGAGCTATGATAGCTTAGTGGGAAGAGATCAAACATACTTGGGTTAAAATCCAAGCTCCAGGTCGGGTGTGGTGGCTCATGCCTGTAATCCCAGCACTTTGGGAGGCTGAGGAGGGCAGATCATGAGGTCAGGAGTTCAAGACCAGCCTGGCCAACACAGTGAAACCCCATCTCTACTGAAAATACAAAAATTAGCTAGGCATGATGGCTGGCACGCATCTATAATCCCAGCTACCTGGGAGGCTGAGGCAGGAGAATCGCTTGAATCAGGAGGCAGAGGTTGTGGTGAGCCGAGATCATGCCGCTGTACTCTAGCCTGGGCAACAGAGCAAGATTGTCTAAAAAAAAAAAAAAAAAAAAAAATATCAATCAGGCATGTGTCTGTAATCCCAACTACTCAGGAGGCTGAGGCAGGAGAATCACTTGAACCCAGGAGGTGGAGGTTGCAGTGAGCCAAGATCATGCCACTGTACTCCAGCCTGGGCAACAGAGCAAGACTCTGTCAAAAAAAAAAAAAAAAAAAATCCAGGGTCCAGCACTAACCATCTAACTCTGACATTTGGCAAGTCACCCACTCTGAACCCTAGTTCCTCATCTATAGAATGAGGATAGTACTACCTAGTGTGCAGACAGAACTGTTCAGAGGAAGTGCTAATACAGGTGAAAGGCCAAGTTGGTGAAAGGATTCTTTTAGCTACTTGAAACCATAACCAAAATTTATTGACAAAATGGAATTCAAGGTCTGCGGCTCTTTCAAACATATGGAGTCTTTGTGAGTTCCCACATTAGTGGAAAATTCCCCATTGACTGTCTGCCAAAGAGAAGTTTAGGGATATTCAGTCATTCTGCTCTCCTTCAGGAAAGAAAACCAAGACCAGGTTAGCTCTGCCATATGTCCATGTGCATCTCCATGTACATTTCTACTCACAGCTGCAGAATGCTCTGATGTCCCCGATGTTTTCTGGCTAGCTCTGTTTCAAGGTGCCATGCTGGAGTGACACATCAACAAGAAAGAGACAGGGTTTCTCCATGTTGGTCAGGCTGGTCTCAAACTCCCAACCTCAAGTGATTGGCCCATCTCGGCCTCCCAAAGTGCTGGGATTACAGGCATGAGCTACCACGCCTGGCTCTTGCAGGGGCTCTTAAGCAACATGGAAATAAGGTTGATGGAAAATAAACATCAGTTTCTTTTTTCTTTTTTTTTTTTGACAGAGTCTTGCTCTGTCACCAGGCTGGAGTGCAGTGGCGCGATCTTGGCTCACTGCAACCTCCGACTCCCTGGTTCAAGCGATTCTCCTGCCTCAGTCTCCTGAGTAGCTGGGATTACAGGCACACTAATTTTCATATTTTTAGTATCGATGGGGTTTCACCATGTTGACCAGGATGGTCTTGATCTCCTGAGCTCGTGATCCGCCTGCCTTGGCCTCCCAAAGTGTTGGGATTACAGGCGTGAGCCACTGTGCCTGGCCATAAACATCAGTCTCTAAAAAAGAAAAATATCCAAACAACAACAGTATCTTCTTCCATTTGAATTTTTTTCTCCAAGAAACTCTGAGCAGATTATCTCTTTACTTCTTTTTCCTTTTTTCTTTTTTTTGAGACAGGGTCTTACTCTGTTGCCTAGGCTGGAGTGCAGTGGCACAACTTTGGCTCACCGCAACCTCCGCCTCCTGGGCTCAAGCAATCCTCCCGCCTTAGCCTCCCAAGTAACTGGGACTACAGGCACATGCCATCATGCCTGGCTGATTTTTATATTTTTTGTAGAGATGGAATTTTGCCATGTTTCCCAGGCTGGTCTCAAACTCCTGGGCCCAAGCAATCTGCCCACCTCAGCCTCCTAAAGTGCTGGGATTACAGGCATGAGTCACTGCACCTGTTCTGCCTTTTTTTCCTCCCCTCCCCTCCCCTTCCTCTCTTTCTTTCTTTCTTTTTGATGGAGTCTCACTTCATCGACTAGTCTGGAGTAGAGTGGCACGATTTTGGCTCACTGCAACCTCTGCCTCCCGGATTCAAGTGATTCTCCTGCCGCAGCCTTCCCAGTAGGTGGGATTACAAGCACGCACCACCACACCCGGTTAATTTTTGTATTTTTAGTAGAGATGGGTTTTCACTATGTTGACCAGGCTGGTCTTGAACTCCTGACCTCAAGTGATCTGCCGCCTTGTATTTGAACTCTGCCCACATGGTGCCTAGAATCTACAGCCTGTACTTTACCTCCACTGTGTTGTCAATCTAAAGTAGGCCGCTTTATTTATTTATTTATTTTTTGAGACAGAGTCTCACTCTGTTGCCCAGGTTGGAAGTGCAGTGGCACTATCTTGGCTCACTGCAGCCTCCACCTCTTGGGTTCAAGCCAATTCTCACACCAGCCTCCCAGGTAGCTGGGACTACAGGGGCGCACCACCACCCCAGCAATTTTTTTTTGCATTTTTAGCAGAGACGGGGTTTCACCATGTTGACCAGGTAGTAATCGATCTCCCTGATCTCCCAAAAGTGCTGGGATTACAGGCATGAGCCACCGCGCCCAGCCAAGGGTAGACCTCTTCTACTCCATTTTTCTTGCTTATAGTACCTCCTATTTCCCTTTTGAGCACTAACACAATTTGTCAATTAAATATTTGCTCATCCACCCAGGCATGGTGGCTTACACCTATACCTAGCACTTTGGGAGGCCAAGCAGAAGAACACCTTGAGGCCAGGAGTTTAAACCAGCCTCAGCAACATAGTACGATCTCACCTCATACAGTTTTTTTTTTTTCTTCTTCTTTTTTTTTTTTTTTTTTTCTGTTGGCCAGGCTCGAGCGTGCAAAAAATGCGGCACAGATCTCAGCCTCCCTGTAACCCACCACCTCCCCTGGTTCCAACGCGATTTCAATGCCCTCATGACTCCCAGTAGCTGCGAA